CATGTGTTTGTCGATACAAACCCCAAGGCATATGGAGTTGTGGCCTACCTTACCAACGGGAACCAATCATCGCCCATTGCATCATGGCAAAATCTCGGGTTGCACCCTTGAAGGAACTAACTCTTCCTCAATTAGAATTAATGGCCGCTGTAGTCGGAACACGATTAGCCAATTTCCTATCTTGTACCCTTAGTTCCACATATCCCAACCTAAGACTAAAACTTTGGTCTGACAGTGAAATAGTGCTACATTGGATCAATAGCAGCAAACCACTAAAGCAGTTCATACTACACCGCATTAACGAAATAAAGAACATGTTTCCTACATCAACTTGGAACCACTGCCCGACCGATCAAAACCTGGCTGATTTGCTCACCCGTGGAATTACATCATCCCGATTACAGTCATCTCCTCTATGGACGAATGGACCAACATGGTTAGTACAAGAATCAGAATGGCCACTGTGGAATCCCTCACGCACCATAAACCTATCCCTCTTCGAAGAAAATGATACAGAACCATCCACAACCATTCCCAGCGATGATAATATCTCTATACAGTTCATTAACAAAACTGCTGTCTGTTACTGCCTATGTCTATCGCGGTTTGTACAGAACATGCGTAGAAGAGTTGTAGGACCAATTTCCGCAACAGAAAAACAGGCAGCATTCAAAGTATGGATCCAAAATTGTCAAACCCTACATTACAACAACGAAATCGCTAACCTCACATCATCATCTCTGCTCGCCTGCCCTTGGCACGACAGCTTCGCTTATTTCTAGATCCCGATGGAGTTCTTCGTTGCAGCGGGAGGATTCATAATCCCCCACTTGGTGAACTGGCCAGATTTCCATACTTACTCCACAAAAACTGTACATTTACTGAACAAGACACCCATCGTAAACAAATGCATTCTGGAATCAATGCTACAGTTACTGCACTTCGACAAAGCTATTGGATAACCGCCATACGTCAATATGTAAAGAAGTTACTTCGACGTTGCGTCACCTGTCGCAAAGTTACTGGTACCCCTTTCAAAACATTAGACTCCGCACCTCTACCAAAGATTAGAGTCCAAGAAAGAGCACCATTCGCAGTAACGGGAGCAGATTTTGGCGGACCCCTCTATGTCAGAACCCAGCTCGGTGAAGCAAAGACTTACATATGTCTTTTCACGTGTGCAATTACAAGAAGCGTTCACCTAGAAATCGTCTCAGATCTATCAGAGGAAAAATTTATTTTGGCATTTCGCCGTTTCTCAAGTCAGAAGTCTCTACCCCTAATTACCATGATTTCAGATAATGCTTCCACCTTATTATTCGAATCTCCGAGTCACTTAAGCAGACAAGGAGTCGAATGGAAATTTATACCGAATCGAGCGCCCTGGTATGGGGGCTTTTGGGAACGCTTAATTGGGTTGATAAAAACTGCGCTAAAGAAGACACTCGGTAGAGCATCCGTAACACTAGAAGAACTCCAGACCCTCATCGTTAAGGTAGAAGCCATCCTAAATGATCGTGCAATTACGTTTGTGTCAAGTGACATAAACGATGAAGAGCCACTAACACCGTCGCACTTATTGTATGGCCACTTAGTACCGGGTGTCCCAAAAAAAAGTACTCCGGTTTGATTCGTAATAACTTCTAAGCAAGCAAACCTTTTAAAGAGAAATAACATGCATCAAATAGAGGAAGGACTAACTTAGATTTTGATATATTACAGTTGTACTTTACTTAAAAATTCACGGAGATATTAATGTTCAAAATCGGGAGCATATTTTGGGATGTGTCTAAATTTAGCGAAAATCGGCATATCAAATATTAACTTCAGCGTTTGTTTGTTTGATGACATATCAGGCTAACTTGTATTTCAGCGAATTGTCGTTAGGGTTTGTAAGGGATATGGCGTAGATTTAGACTTCTTACATGTAAGTCTTAGCTCAATGTTTCCTGAAATATGAACGTACGAAATTATGCAAGTATTTAATAGCAAGTCTTTACAAACTTTACAAATTTATAAGGTACATGAAAGACCATGCAAGGCAGGCGCTTAAATTTTTCTTAGCCTAATTTTTTATGTTTTTCATGGGTTCAAAACAGAGTTGATTATTTCTCGGTTATAGCAGGATGAATATTATTCTGCAATGAAGGAAATAATATTGCTTTTTGCAAATACACATCACAGTATCAACGCTACTATTTTGTTACGTTTTGTTCCAAAAATTTTGGATGTCTCTAGGGAGTTGCATGCTTAATTGTTATGTCTTATGGAGTTGAATGGTTTGATTGTGTTTTATTCTCAGTTTATTCTAAACTTAAAAAAGATTAAGAAAAGGCAAATGAGTTTGAGTGTTCTTAACAAGATTTCAGAACGTTGCAGAAGTTAGAAGAGCTTCACAATTCCATTGTGACAGCATGCCCTAATTCAGAACTACGAACGATCCATGATGATCCTTCGCGGTGCATTGGTCTCATGAAATAAGCAAACGTATTCGTGCTAGGAACACACACAGATTTCAGACGAATAAATCTTGCTTGTATTTTGTAGATAATAATACAGACTTTGTTTCATAATAAACAATTTGTCAAGTGTCATTTATTTACTGGTGATCGTGCATGTTTCAGTCGGGAAAATCTTGATTAATATTTGATACGCCGTTTTTTGCATATTTCAGACACATCCAGAAATATGCTCCCGATTTTAAACATTAATATCTCCGTAAATTTTTAAGTGAAGTACAACTGTAATATATCAAAATCTAAGTTAGTCCTTCCTCTATTTGATGCATGTTATTTCTCTTTAAAAGGTTTGCTTGCTTAGAAGTTATTACGAATCAAACCGGAGTACTTTTTTTTGGGCCACCCGGTACAATTTAGTAGAATTTAGTAATAAGTTCTTTGAATGTTTGCATGGCGATAAAATATAATTGTTTTTGTTTGTGGAAATACCACGTAAATTTATTACTGCATTAATAAATTTATTATTTATTAATTATTTATTATGCAGTAATAAATTTACGTGGTGTTTCCACAAACAAAAACAATTAGAATTTAGTAAGTTCTCACCTGCAAAAGCGAGGCTTGCAGTTGGTGCTCATGTTGAATTTAATAGAAGTAAAAATTTATACTAATTAATATATACGGTAAATCACTATTACACAAAATTTTGTTTCACTTCAAATATACAAGACATTGGTAGGCTCAACTTTGAGTTATCATGGTTTGAGAGACCACAACGGCTAGAATCGGAGCACATGCTGAAGTAGTGAATAAGTATACTATTCGCATCTGAATTTGGCTGTCAACCGTTTTCATTCTTTTGGGGGTTTTTCTTGCAATTGTACTTATCAAGTATCCCATGCAAAAGAGAAACTTTGGACAGCCATACAGTTTAATTAACAATGTTCTCAAAACACAAGGACTGGCATTCTTTTGATACTGCAACATTAGATTGCTCAATAATGTACTGTCATCCCACAAACTTTTTGCTAATGGAGAAGCTTGGACGTTCTCAACAGTTTTATCAACATGTAAAGAAGTTGGTTTTCCAATTTTTGCATGTGTGCTTTCCAAAGCACGATTCAGCGATTCTAGCAATATTATTAAGTCATGAATTTGGTGCTCACAGGGCTGAGTGACCCTCCCCAGCAACATAACCAAGTGGTCCAAGCTCTTCTGATTTCACTGATAATTACTAGTAGTAGAGTAAAAACATTAAAAAAATATTTCTGGGTATATAATCCTTTGCACATAGGTAGAATCTTCTGGCATCCAACAGTAGGTCTACAAAGCATTTGGAGAGGAATAAGAACTAAGTTTAATACCCTTACGTCAATATTGTGCCATACAGAGGAAAATCAAATAAGACTTGGTCCTGGAAACTGTGGGATTGCATGAAATATGGAATCTGAGAATAACATTTCTATTTTGATAATGTGACAGAATGATCAAAACTAACAAATCACATGTTTGTGTGATGTTACTCTGAGTGTATATCCACACCGGGCAGACTTGAAAAATATGCCTGGCCAGGGTGGGATTCGGACCTACGACCTTTGGAATACCAGCCCAATGCTCTTCCAACTGAGCTACACGGTCAGGTCGGTTCGTGTATGCGATATTTCGGAACTGAGTCTAGTTCCTTCGATATCAGTGTAATCTAATAATCTCATACTTGAAGCCTGCTCGGTGTGGATATACTGCCAAAGATTCCAGCCTCGCAAGATTCATACCAGAAATTTTTCAAGATATAGTCAAGAGAGTTATAAGTCTGATCTCAGAAACTGTTCCTGGGAAAACATCTTCAACGGATTCTCAGATATAAACGATGCTTGGAACTCATTTAAGTACCATTTAACAGCGATTATCGACAACATGCACCCATGACGGAGAAAATGGTAAGAGGTCGCGACTGCCCATGGTTAACTACCGAAATCAAATCTAAAATAAAGGAACGAGACTTTTTTCTAAGGAAAGCAAGGAAAAGTGAAATGACTACCGACTGGTTGGCGTATAAGAAACTACGTAATACCGTCACCCAAGACATTAGACGGAGTAAAGCAAATTACAATAGATCCCTGTTCAGCGAAAACATAAATTCACCCACACAATTCTGGAACCAAATAAAAAAATGCTACCCTGCAAAAGAAAAGAAACTGGTGACTAGCAAGGTTTTTGATATTGACGAAACTACGACGACTGATAAAACGTCCATTGCCAATGGTTTCTGTAAGTATTTTACCAATGTAGGTAAAACATTACAGACGTCACTTATAACTCTGGGCAACACAGTGTGGGAAAATCATGATCACAAAAAACTATCAAAGAGAATTAACCAGAAAGAGTTACAGTTTACGTTTGAAAAAGTGTCTGCTTCAAACATGGTTAAGCTACTACGACAACTAAAAGCGTCCAAAGCAAGTGGCTATGACGGTATTCCAACATCGATGATTAAGGACGGTGCTGAAGAATTAGCGGTTCCATTAACCTATCTCATTAACTCATGCTTGGAACAGTCAGTTTTTCCTGACACAGAAAAATATGCAAAGATTATTCCTGTTTACAAATCCGGCAAACGGTCCTCTATGGACAATTACAGACCCATATCGATTCTACCTGTTTTATCGAAAGTGTTTGAAAGAGTGGTTCAGAAACAGCTATATGAATACCTAGAGAAGAATTCATTGCTATCTCCAAATCAGTTTGCTTTCAGGAAACACAGATCAACTCAGCATCCTGTAACGTTGCTTTCGGACCATATTAGAGGACACATGGATAAAGGAGAATTAACTGGAGCAGTATATATAGATCTAAGAAAAGCATTTGATACGATAGATCACGGTCGGTTACTCTCGAAACTTCCATGTTATGGAATCAGAGGAAGAGAATTGATCTGGCTTGAAAATTATTTGTTCGGAAGAAAGCAATTTGTTGTGTTTGACTCGGCAACTTCCGAGGGGCACACTGTCCTTACTGGTGTGCCACAAGGATCAGTGCTCGGTCCCCTTCTCTTCGTACTACTTATAAATGATATCGATTTGCAAATGCAAAACTGTCAAATTCTTTTATATGCTGATGACACAGTAGTTTACACATCTGACAAATCATGTGAAGCTATTGAATCAAACTTAAACTCTGAACTTACCAATCTCGCGAGATGGTTCTCTAATAACAAGCTCGTTCTTAATCTTAAGAAAGGAAAAACTGAATTTGTTCTTTTTGGAACGAGTAAGAAACTTCGTAAATCGCCGAAAGTACAAGTAAAGATAAATGAAATACCAATAAACGAGGCGGAATCGTATGAGTATTTGGGCGTAGAATTGGACAAGTCGCTTAACTACAACAGTCATATTGACAGGACTATCAAAAAGGCATCTGCGAAAGTTAAACTGTTATCACGTATCCGACAGAATGTCAGTCCATATGTTGCCGAGAAAATATACAAAGTTATGATTGAATCAACTCTTGGATACTGTGGTAACTTATTTCTTGGTATATCAAATAGCACAGCAAATCGATTTCAGCAAATTCAAGACCGTGCTATCAATATCGTATATGGTACAAACGTAACACCTAATCGCTGGTGTTCGATACGAAATGTTAGGAAACTTCACTGTGTACAGGAAGTTTTTAAGTGTCTAAATGGCCTTGTGCCTAATCAATTTAATGGCATTTTTAACAAGTTCTCCCACCAGAAAGAAACAAGAGGAAACAACTCAAAATTGAGACTACCAAAAGTGAAAACAGAAACTGGACGCAAGATGTTCTCGTTCCAAGGAGCTCTGGTTTTTAACGAACTTCCAGAAGATTTGAGGAATGAGACATCACTTTTACGTTTTAAGCAAAAGTGTAGAAACTTTTTTATGAAAACTGATTAGTGGATTTTTAAATATTTTTATATAAATGCTGAAGCCAAAAACTTTTTAGTTATTATATAAGTATAGAACAGATTATTTAGTCTAAACAGGTCCTTGAGTGATAGCAGCTATTCCTTTAGCTGACCAAGTTTAACCTGTATAAATATGGTATATTATTATTATTATTACACAAACATCTTATTCACCTGAGTACATTACACCAACACAGCAAATTTCATGATTATTAGATTACACTGATATCGAAGGAACTAGACTCAGTTCCGAAATATCGCATACACGAACCGACCTGAGCGCGTAGCTCAGTTGGAAGAGCATTGGGCTGGTATTCCAAAGGTCGTAGGTTCGAATCCCACCGTGGCCAGGCATATTTTTCAAGCCTGCCCGGGGTGCGGGATATACACTCAGAGTAACATCACACGTGCACAAACATCTTATTCACCTGAGTACATTACACCAACACAGCAAATAACAAATCACATGTTAATAGAAGACATTCAATCACTGTATACTCATTAGTAGGTCAATATCTGGACTTATAATTGACAATACAATTGGACGTAAGCCTTACTATTTAGGAAATTCATATCTAGACAATAAAGGCCATTTCCACTCAGGAAAATTTCCGTAGAAAGAAAATTTTCTAAAATGTGATTGGCCCACACAAATTTTCCGTTGGAAAAACATTTTGAAGTTGAAAATTTTCAACTTTTAACAATTTTTCAAGTTGGAAATTTTTCTTGAGTGGAAATGGGCCATAAGTCTATATATACAGTAAGATATTTACTGGTATTAAAGCATGCCGTTTCTTCAGTGTTTATAATAACTTTAGAATATCTGCAGGTTAGCATAATCAACCGTTCCGCATATAATTCACCAGCATCAAAAGCACATAAATATATGCCTGGTTTCCGGTATATGGAGAACGAGAACGAGAGATATGAGCCGTCGAGGTTTGGCGAACGGGCGAGTCTGACGAAGAGAGATTTTGTAAAACTTTAATTTATTAACTTCAGCTATATTTTACTTTAAACAATAATTTCAACTCTTTGTAGCTATAGTCCTACAGCTATAACCAGTGGCGTGGGCAAACCTTAATTTTGCGGGGGGGGGGGG